GCAACGTGGACAGTTGTGGTTTTATGAGAATATTTGCTGTTCATATGCGAACTGGTATGCATAAAACCGGCATCTGCGGTTCATGTCTTTGCAAGCATTCTTCCTGACTTTAGTGTAAGCATCTATCTCACTTTGTTGTTTGGTAGTTTATCAAAATTTCGTAATTCGGAATCATTGCAGCACGTTCCTCTGCCCGCTGCTGCTTGTTGCAGTGGCTGGCTTGATCTTCCTGCACGATTTCCTATTTCGAAGGATCATCCTACAGAAACTGTCGCTGCTCTGAGACATATCTCAACAATTCAATGACTTCCAGAATTCGTATCGATTACTCGGACGATCTCACAGCTGATTGCTCTAACTAGGTGGACAACAATTCGCTATTCGCGAACAGTTCAGAAATATTGTGCTCACTTGAACTTTATCTGTCTGCCAATTTCCCGGACTCACAACCCCGCCTACCACTGTTTTTCAGGATGTAAACTTTTCTCCTTGCGTGCAATAAAACTTCAATTTCAGACAAATTCTACACCGGCTCGGAGTCCTCGTTCTTCTTGGGAACTCTCCACTGCCTAGTAGTTACAGCAAAATTCGTTCCGACACTTCGGACATTGCACCGGACGTCCGATGTGCAGATTAATTTAGCCCAAAGGCACAAATGAAATGTTAAACAGCGAACGTATACACATTAGCACTGGTTTCGGCCGCTTTTAGACTAGTTTTGCACGCTTCGGCAGTTCATGTGTGCTCGGTTCCACTTCGCGCACTATCTGCATAGTTTTAGCCGCCCTGAGCCCGTCGCAAGCAACACCCCACGCTGCTGCTTTGATTTCATATGGGTGAGGCTTCCCTAAAATGCAGCTAGCCTCCTGCATCAAAGCTCATGGAACAGCAAACAAGCATTTTACGAAAACAGCCTTGAACCGTCGTGCAGCGGATTCTACTTCAGCCCAGTTCACCAGGCAACATGTCTGCCCCTCTGCATTCATGTGCGGGCATTCTCCCTCACTTTGCTTTTCATAACTGTATTTATTCTCTTGCTTTATTCTTGCACATACGTCCTTTTTACACTCAGCGATACCCTGACGCACCTCAGCAACAGTACCAATTTCGCAAACGAATTAACTTTTTCACTGGCGGAGCTGCACGACAACATCACACATTAAATAGTACTTTCGGCAGACCACCCGGACCTGCAGAACAGACAGCGGATACCGACTGCAGGTAGCAGCTTAAAATCGAAATGCCCTGTATGACTGCTCAACAACAGCATTTCAGTAACATCACCACCACAGAATCACCATACCGGCTGTCCAGGGCAACCCGGTGAATAGAACGCAAGAAAAAAAAACTGACAATTATCGCGACCCTAATTACTCGCCTATTAGACGTGTGTGTCCCGTTTGTATGTGTGTGTAAAACGTCGCGTCCTATATACATGTTTATTAATACATAGTGAGTTAAAAGGATAATGCATAAAAGGGGGGTGAGGTTCTGGGAAGCTTAGGCTCCCCAAAATAGCAGTATTCGTTATATAGAAGTAGGTCGCAGTAGTAGATCACAATGTAATCATTATTGTGAGGAAAGGAAAAAAAAAAAAAAAAAACAAAAATAAAAAAACTAAATGATCCAAAACGTTTTTGAGACGTGCAAAGGGCACAAAGTAGAGGCCATTGTAGGCAGTTGAATTTCTCTTTTTTTTCATTCCTGGTCTCGAGAAATATATATTATGTCAGTGACTAAGCCAGGTGTTGTGAAGGAGGAGCTGCTTTGTTGGTTCCTCAGGTCGCTTTGCCCTACAACAATAATAATCAAATTGTATTTCTGCTGCGTGTCCTCAAGTATCGCCAGTGCGCGCTAGTTAAGGAATTATACTGCCAGCAAATATTGCTAAACTCCCCGACTTCGGCGGTTAGCAGACAGCGTGAATACCGTTAGGCGTTGATTCCTAGGTCCGTCGTACAGTATTAACCAACAGCAAACCCACTCGTTGAACCGTCGATTACTTCAAACTTGGGTAAGATAACCTTTATCATACATTAATATGTGCGACACGAACGAATAACGTCGAATATACGCGGATACAAAAATGTGTTAATAATACAAGAAAAGATGAGCAGTGTCGAGGAAAAGCGCCTCGAATGGAAAATAGGAAACAAAGGAAGCAAAAAGCGATACATAAATTATATAAATTTTTATTTTCGCAGTACCGTAACCTCCTTTGTAATAACGGTGCCGCCGTCAAACAGCGGCACCAACATCAATCATGTATGCAGTTTTCTTTGTAAACTGGACCTAACTGGAGCGAGGCGGAGCTCCAGATGGGTTTAGCTGCCGATTTTTCCGGCTTATTTTTTACTGTTAACATTTTGTCGACGCCGACCGGACGCCGTGTGCCAACACCAGCACACCGTCTAACAACATCCTCACATCGACCAGACACCATCTGCCAGGATCAGCACGTCGTCTGCCGATATCAGACCTGTCTTCCACCCCTTTTTTTTGTTCTTACTGTTATTTCTCTATTGCATAAATATACCTATGTTACCTTTAGTTGACAAAGACAATTGAGGTTAAGCATAGTAACGGTAGAAAACTCCAGAAAAGTCAAGGTCGGAAAGAAGAAACTTTATGTTTTCACCACAAGCAGCGCCTCGTCGCCTCATCGTCCGTAGTTGTTGTCCGTTCGTCGTCGCGTCCGCCGTCCTCCGTCGTCGAATCCGTTGAAATGATAAAAAAGAGATGGGAGGATAAGCGCCGTCGTAACATCTGAACGTTGTTGATCCGGCATCTTCCTTTGTTGAAGACGAAAGTGCATGAGGAGGACAGTGATGCGCGGAAGGAAATAGAGCACAAAAAGAAGTAAGCACCCACATGTAACAAAAACACATACTTTGTACAATTATTGCGAAATCGAGAATTAGCAATCTCGACACCAGGCAAATAATTGGTCATCTTTAGTAAGGTCAAGGAGGCCACGCAACAAGGATCTCAGCCTTGTGTTCGCAAATTGGCGGGTCTTCCGCGTCAATTAATAAGATGACCACTTTTTTTCCATATTATTACTGGTGCCGTGAAATATAAACTTCTGTTCTTGTTTTTTTTTTGAAAATTTTGTGTGGAGAAAGGAGAATTTTCGACGAGAAATAGCTATGAAAAACAGAATTATGGCGTACATAATAAAAATCCTGGAAACTAATGATAGCATGAGCATACGAATATAATGATAACTTTGTTGACTAGACTGGTTTCTTGTTGATTGGATATTTGCATAATACTCGTGTCCTATACACATGTTTACTAATACATAGTAAGTTAAAAGGATAATGCATAAAAGGGAAGTAAGGCTCTGGCGAGCCGAAGCTCCCCAGAATAAAAGTATTAGTTATAAAGAAGTAGGTCACAGTAGTAGATCGGTAGTGGCGATCCCAGCGATGAGGAAGAGTGCTTTTATACTCCAGGGGACAAAGATCGAAAGTTCAATGACGGTAGGATGGTTAAAGTTTGAACCAGGGACAGGGGTACTGCGTCATAGTAACGCAGTTGATCTTTAACCCATTTCTAACAAAAACCATTAATCATTATTTGATATATTACGCGATACAATGAATGGATTCTAAAAAGCCGTCGTCAAAGCATGGCACTTCAAGAAGCATATAGACCAAACGTTTTATACATACAAGGATCAGAGACCAACATCTAAACGGTGACTGCATATTACTTCGAGAGCTCGGTCTTTTTCCAAATGCACTTTTAGTTCCCGGATCAATGGCTACTAAAAGAGTTTTGCACAACATGTAAGTAAAAGTCAAGGACCCGTCAAGGTTTCGACTTTGTAAACACTCACACACTACAAACGCAGCAGTTCCTGTTTACAACATAACCATGAACAACAAAAAACAAAAATGCAAAAAAGCTCATTTCACACAATCTGCCTAAGGATTTTTAATTACCTGCAATGAGGAGCAAAGCCTGAAATCTAATCTTCTAAACGTACCATAAATCCCTTTGGTGCAAACTAATAAAAATATACATATTTAGATTTACCAAAAGTTCTTCAAGTGCACTGATCATGATGCTGGAACAGTACCTCCATAATCCAAAGGCATTTTTAATTCGTACAACGTAGGGTAAAAAAAAAAATAGAGATACGAATCACTTAATGTATTTCTCCATGAATTTTTTATGGAATTCGGATCGGATGGCATCGTTGATAAAAATCTGCTCTTTGCTGCGTTCTTCGATTCCTTTTGCGCAATTCTTGAAAACGACGTCATCGTCCCAGCGTCGCTTCACCTGCATAATTGAAAAAGCTGCTAATGCGCTTCCCAACACAACAGAACGCCCATTCGGCACACTTAAGTCAGCCCTGTCGCTGTATAACACATTTCCGAAATACCTCTTCGTACCTTCAGCAATACTGGAAGACGACTAGGGAGGCAGGCCATGCAAATGCAGTGACGCGGACGATGAAACTACACCTGTCCCCTGTAAGGTAGTTACTAAAATTCGGTTCGACCCGAGCTGCAACGACTGTGGCGTGCTCCCCTCAGATGGTGAGGCAGGAATAGAGGGGAGTTGGGCAGAGGGCCAAGGTTGGTAGCTTAGGTCTCGGGGTCATAACGGAGGGAAGCGGACAGGGTTATTGAATAGAAAGGAACTGAGACCTTTCCCGGACGAGTTGGGAAAAAAGTGGGTGTACGGGGAAGTGGGTTACATATGTTTGTGATACTCACCAAGAAACTTTATGCTGAGCTAAACCTGGTAAATTTGTGAGCGACATCTAAAATACCACCTGGGAAAAAAAACCGACACTTCTGCACAACTGGGAGTTTCGTAGTTGGCAGCCAAACCTACAAGCGAGTGCATGTGTAGCAGCCGAGATGAGTTTTAGCTGTTGCCTCTTACCAACGACTTCACACAAATTAAGATTTGTCTGAAACATTTACAGTAACGCAGAAGCTTCTAATGTGCTGTGCCTAGTGAACCGTAGACGCCCCAGTAGACTCATACGAACCACTGGGTCTTTCGGCCTACACACAGCTTCTACTGGTCCTCTCCATGTATAGCTGCAAAAGAACAAAGCGCCTGCGGGCGATATTTGGAAATAACGAAATCACTGCTGGAAATGAAGCAAAGCCAAACCATACCTTGAAGCCCGATGCTGCAGTATCGGACGAGAGTAAGGGATTGCCATGCAGGATGTTTTCCGTTCTGATACGCTCCTGCAATATGGATCAAAAAATTCACTCACTAACTCTTCGCACAGCAGACCCGCATATCCCCTGATTGCAGAGCCAAATTGGCAATTTTTAGGGATCAGAGATCCAACAGATACTTTTGCTGATCCGACATACTGGAAGCAATGAAATTTTCAAAATTATGAAATGGAAGGGAACAGTGAAGGGCTCAACCTGCTCCTCAGCTAATGCGGCGTCGCGTTGCGCCTTTTCCATCGCTCGTTCCTTTTTGATCCTTGCCAGTTCCGCCATCAATTCTGCAGTGTCATCTTCTTCTGAGCCCGAATTCTGCAATGCACTCAATCACTGATATCACGCTATGCTTTCTAGCGCCAAACTTTGTTATCACAGAAAGCAACAGCAGCACATTTAATTTTTCGTTCAAAACACAAAAGTGAAAAGTGAGGAGGAGCGCCCCCAGTTCCCTCGTCGGGGAAGGACGACAACGCAACAGCACCTCCGCTGACAACAGTGGCGCTGTAGAAAGCACGGGAATGTTAAAACAGTTATAATCCACTTATAAAACGACTGAGAAAAGTGCGACAAGTTGCATTCGTTCGAATCACCACACAAAGAAAGTGCATTTTCACAGCATGCCACTTCTCATCGGCACATTTGCAAAATGGCTTAAAATACAGAAACAGCAAAAGGTGATACATCGTTGAGATCATCGTACGGATCATCGTCATCCTGCACGTTGTGGATCGACGCTTCCAGACGCGGCTTCTTCTGTGAGCTCCAGCCGCTGTCCTTGCTACGTCGCTCACGTGCCGCATTCCTTTCCTTCTCTTCCAATTCACGGCGAAAATCCTGCAAGTACACATTCAGAATTTACATTCACCCCCGCTATAAGCTCGGCATACAACACATTTACCTCATCTGAATGCTAACCACATCCAAACCCGACCCCAATCTTAGTCTCAACCAATCCTAACTTAGATCTCGACCTCATCAAAGCCCCAACCTCGTCAAAGCCTCAACCTGAACGCTGGTTCTAAATGCATTTCAACCTGATCTACTAGATATTAATCGCAATTCTCTTGAAATTCGAAATAAGCAAGTATAGGAAGCAGCATTGCAGCCCGGGGTCGTTTACCTTGGATCGGAGTTCGTCCGGATGGCTCTGTCCCTTCTGACGATATTTGAGTTTTGTATGTGATGGCATATCTTTGCTCGAATATTGCTGCGACAGTTTCGACAGGTCACCTTCATTTTTGCCGGTCCCGCCACGTGCCGGCTCGAACGTTGGACGATGTGCGGTTGTCATGTCTCCTTACTCGCAACTGATATCCTAAAAAAGAAAAGAAAAAAAAAAGTATCCACAGAGCAACTCCCGGCGAGCAGCCCTCAAAGCAGGCCAGTGCATCGGAAATCAAAAGTGTGGAAGGCGTCTGCACAATCATCCTCCGACAAGCAAATGCAAAAATGACCAAAAAAACGGACTGCTTGGGCATAAAATCTCGTACAATTGGCGCAAAATTTAACTAAAAAAGCACAAGGATATCAAAGTGCACGAATGGTCCAAAATCGATGTAACTGGGTACGGACAACGCGAAGAATGGTTCGGAGGGGCGCTGGAAATGGAAGGAAACTGGGCTTTGGTCAAGAGCTGTCTCGAGGCGCAAAAGTGCGTGAATTTTCTGGAAAACTCGGTTTCTCAGCTCCCCATTACTGTGGTCCAACAAAGAAAAACCAAAAAGTTTCCTACCAAGTCCCGGACGGCTCCAGCTGTAATAAATAGTGGCGTGCACCAGGGTAGCAGGTGTGATCATGCGTTTTGCGCAATTCCGTCCACCGAACGATTGTCTGTTAATGATTTTCACTGCTGTGCACTTTGGTCTGTGCAAAAATAGTTGAAATGTTGTCTGGTTCCTAAACTATGAAATTTCCCACTAAGATATTCTATGGTGAACATCCCTCCTAAATCAACTTCCTCATTTTTTGGCTTTTGAGTGATTTTCGGGCCAAAACTTCTACGTAGTCGTGGGTGAGAGATCGGCCTACTTCGGAACTAAATTTGAGTTGTGTGGTCTCTGCATAAGCAGAAAACATCCTCCTGAAATTTTCCGCCTCCTAGCTCTTCTGGCCCCCGCCAAAACGTTCATGGGACGTTCAGACCCACGCCTACGTGAAACCGAATTTGAATTTGCGGGGTCGCACGTGGGCAGGGAGCAGCACCTTAAAATTTCAGCTTCCTAGCTTTTGTGGTTCCCGAAATGAAAGTTACGGATAAGATGCATCGGAAATACACACACAGACAACCCCGTAACAATATGCGTTTTGTGCAACTGTTGCGCAGCACAAAACACACCAGAAGCGGGCCCCAGGGGCAAAAAAATGCCTCAGCCAAGAGTCTTACCTCCCGTGGAAGCATGTGCCATGTTCTCTGGCCATTACGCAGCCCTGCCTGGACAAATCACGCCTCAGGAAGACCAGTGAGTCAGCAGGCCCGCCCCAGCTACTGCACGTCCGGGTTCCTCACAAAGCCACGACCTAACCAAACACCCACCCGACACAACATCGACACTGAAGCATAGCGTGTCCACAGACAGCACTGAATCCAACAGCCACATCTGACCGCTCCCTGTGCCTCGCTACGAAAACCATATATTCCAAACTATTCTGGATGAGGTCTCCCCAACAGTGGTAGGCAAGGGTAACAGCCGAAATTAGGGCCGCATCGGGAGAAAGGTTGCGATGGCCGGAAGGGAGTGGTATAGGGGCAGGAACGGGAAAGGAGGAGGGAGTGTGGGTCGGGGTGGTGGTTTAGGTCTCATGGGAATAGTGGGGGAGGGGAAACACAGTTACTGACTAGTTAGAGATAATAATTGAAATCAGGAGCGGAGTTTCTGGATGGGAGAGAAAAGTGAGAGGAGGGAAGGGGGTGGAGGGCGAGGGACAAGGGTGGGGGGAGAGAGGTTCCGCCATGCATTTCTTATGTCCAACATGAAACTTAGCACTAAGGGGAAGCCACCAATCCCGAGCCCGACACCCAGGACTCGTCTAGAATCCCCCCCC